TTGCCCAGCCAGAGTGGCTCAGTAGTTGAGTGTCAACATCTGAACCAGGAGGTCCCGATTCGATTCCCAGTCAGGACATATGCTTGGGTTGCAGACTTGATCCCCAGTGTGGGGCATGCAGGAGGCAGTCAATCAATGATTATCTCTCATCATTGATGTTTCTCTCTCTCCCTCTCCCTTCCTCTCTGAAATCAGTAAAAATATATTTTAAAAAAATGAAACAGTATTAGCATTTTAACTATAACAAAGCAAATATCTTGGTCCAGGTAGATAGAAATAATAATACATATTTTTAAAACACTTCTATTGCTCATACAGTCCATGGATGTAAGAAACGTCTAAATCTGTAAAAAAAAATATATTATAAGAATTTATTCGAGCCAAAAGTTTCAGGAAGCAAGATCTTAAAAGCTCCAGAGAATGGCAGTTTTTCAGCTTCTTTTATACCTTTGGATTTAAGGAGGAAACTAAAGAAGATTACAGGAAGGCAGGAGAAAGCAAGGTTCAGGATAGTTAAGATTATTTGTTCCCTTGCAGGTGGTTACTTCTTCCAGGGGTCTGGAAAAGAGGGTTATTTCTGTCATTTCAAAGTTAGGTTAATGGTGATGCTAAAGAACAACAGATAGAACTTGCTTAAATCTTTTACTAAAGAAGTCATAGGCCTGACTGACAGCTATCATGAACTGACCAGTTAGGAATTTATGATCAGATCATCCTGTGAGGTTACTCTGAGTTATATTTATTACAGCACCCCCTTTTCATCCACACATCTAACTTCTCTCTACTAGAGCATATATTTTCAATTACCAAGAACTTGAAATTGGTTCCTGATTACAACGAAAATTTGTTATTGGAACACAAGATGTTTTAACCTCTTCCAAAGTAACTATGGTTACAAAGCCTTGTGCTGCTTCACCTTCACTTGATTCCTTTCACAACTTTATGATCCAATACTGCTCTTTCTTCATGTGCATCCTCCTCCTGGGGTAGAATAGAGTGAGAAGCAGGAAGCTTTGAACTTCCCCCAAGATGGCAGACTGTGTCAGTAACCATGGGTGTGCCTCAATTCAGACGTTCTAGGTTTTGCCTTCCACAGTGTGGAGTGGCACTTTTCATCTCTTTTTCTCAGGTTAAACTAATAAAATAATATTATGGCAAAAACCTCAAGCTTCAAGGGTCCCAATAGACTGTATTTAGTGCATTCATTTTATTAATTCAGCAAACGTTTATGGAGGGCTGGCGATGCGCAAGGCACTATGTTTAGTTCTGAGGAAAAAGCGCTTGAGAAAGAAAAGTTTTCTGTTTGGACATAGTTTTAATCTTTGTGAAGAGGAAGGACTGAGTAAGAAAAAGTGTGTTATTCTTTTTAAAACTAGATAAATAGGATTAAATTTATGACTACAAGATTTTTAATCTAGTAAAATTTCCAAGGCTTGAAGAGTCATTAAAAAAATAAACTCTCAAATTTAGAACAATTTAGATTTGAAAAAAATTGAAAATATACCACAGAGGATTCCCACACATAGTTTTCTCTATTAACATCTGACATTAGTAGAGTACACTTGTTGAACTAATATTGATACATTATTAATTACAGTGCACATTTTACTAATATCTTTTTAATTTTTACCTGGTGTCCTGTCCCTTCCAGGACACCTTATTATATTTAGTTTTTATATTTCCTTATGCTCCTCTTAGTTGGGACAATTTCTGATTTGTCTGAATTTCCTGTTTTTTTATGACCTTGATCATTTTGAGAAGTACTGGTCAGGTATTTTGTGTAATATCCCTCTGTTGGAATTTGGCTGATGGTTTTTCTCATTATTAAACTGTGATAATGATGAGGAAGATCACAGAAGTAAGGTATCATTTTCACCATATCAACTCCATAAAATTTTCACCATACCAACATGACATCACTGTTGATGTTAATCACCTAATTCAAGGAGTATTTGTAAGCGTTCTCCACTGTAAACTTACTCTCTCCTCTTTTCATACTATATTCTTTGGAAATAATTCACTATGCAAGCCCTCACTTAAATAATGGGGTGGAATATCTACATAAATTATTTGAAAATATTTTACACAGATTTGTCTCTTCTCTTCAGTCTGAATTGTAATTACCTGGAATAACTGTTTCAATTTCCTGAAAATAGGAAGATGCTACAAAGAAGGTAATTTAAAATATTTACTATATAATTTGTCTTTAAAATGAAACAGTATTGCCCAGCCAGAGTGGCTCAGTAGTTGAGTGTCAACATCTGAACCAGGAGGTCCCGATTCGATTCCCAGTCAGGACATATGCTTGGGTTGCAGACTTGATCCCCAGTGTGGGGCATGCAGGAGGCAGTCAATCAATGATTATCTCTCATCATTGATGTTTCTCTCTCTCCCTCTCCCTTCCTCTCTGAAATCAGTAAAAATATATTTTAAAAAAATGAAACAGTATTAGCATTTTAACTATAACAAAGCAAATATCTTGGTCCAGGTAGATAGAAATAATAATACATATTTTTAAAACACTTCTATTGCTCATACAGTCCATGGATGTAAGAAACGTCTAAATCTGTAAAAAAAAATATATTATAAGAATTTATTCGAGCCAAAAGTTTCAGGAAGCAAGATCTTAAAAGCTCCAGAGAATGGCAGTTTTTCAGCTTCTTTTATACCTTTGGATTTAAGGAGGAAACTAAAGAAGATTACAGGAAGGCAGGAGAAAGCAAGGTTCAGGATAGTTAAGATTATTTGTTCCCTTGCAGGTGGTTACTTCTTCCAGGGGTCTGGAAAAGAGGGTTATTTCTGTCATTTCAAAGTTAGGTTAATGGTGATGCTAAAGAACAACAGATAGAACTTGCTTAAATCTTTTACTAAAGAAGTCATAGGCCTGACTGACAGCTATCATGAACTGACCAGTTAGGAATTTATGATCAGATCATCCTGTGAGGTTACTCTGAGTTATATTTATTACAGCACCCCCTTTTCATCCACACATCTAACTTCTCTCTACTAGAGCATATATTTTCAATTACCAAGAACTTGAAATTGGTTCCTGATTACAACGAAAATTTGTTATTGGAACACAAGATGTTTTAACCTCTTCCAAAGTAACTATGGTTACAAAGCCTTGTGCTGCTTCACCTTCACTTGATTCCTTTCACAACTTTATGATCCAATACTGCTCTTTCTTCATGTGCATCCTCCTCCTAGGGTAGACTAGAGTGAGAAGGAGGAAGCTTTGAACTTCCCCCAAGATGGCAGACTGTGTCAGTAACCATGGGTGTGCCTCAATTCAGACGTTCTAGGTTTTGCCTTCCACAGTGTGGAATGGCACTTTTCATCTCTTTTTCTCAGGTTAAACTAATAAAATAATATTATGGCAAAAACCTCAAGCTTCAAGGGTCCCAATAGACTGTATTTAGTGCATTCATTTTATTAATTCAACAAACGTTTATGGAGGGCTGGCGAGCAATAGAAGTGTTTTAAAAATATGTATTATTATTTCTATCTACCTGGACCAAGATATTTGCTTTGTTATAGTTAAAATGCGCTTGAGAAAGAAAAGTTTTCTGTTTGGACATAGTTTTAATCGTTGTGAAGAGGAAGGACTGAGTAAGAATTTAAAGTGTGTTAGTCATCTGAAGAAATTTGGGTGCTATGAGGGTGTAAAATGTGATCTGGTAGTGGGAAGATGGGCTGATTAATGCAGTGTAAAGAAACAGAAGATTTCTTTGAGAAAATTATGTTTCAGCTAAATTCTGTAGGATGCATAGGGGTCAGGTAGGCATGGGGAGTCAAGTTGGGAAGGGTTATCATATTTAGTGATAAAGTCCTGCTTTGAGTGAAAGTTAAGTTTCTCCTTGCTTTACATAGGCAAAAGAAATGTTAGAAAGAATCTCAAATAAGGCCAAACTTTAGAATATTTTTACAAAGCCAGCTGCAAACCCGTTTACCCTGGACATTTATTATAAAGAGCTAGGGACAACTCATACTTCAAAAAATCTCTTGGAAATAGAAACAATACAATACTTTTAAAATAGATACTTGTTTACAAATAGCTTCTGATGCAAATGATATAATTGTGTGGTTGTCAATATATTTGCTACAAAGTGAGAAAAAATATCTGAGACATCAATTTCCTAAGTGTGGTGACAGCCTAGTCATAAAAGAACATTCTACTTCATTGTTATGAATATGTGAATTATTCTAGTGGTTTACTCTGAATATTTTTTTTCCCATTTACAAGAAAACATCTGTTACAACTAGATGAATGATTAGCTGCAAAATATATAGCAATTTTGTATTAAGGATTGCTTTCCAAAGTATCCCCATTTCATCCTTCACTTCATTCAGGTGCATACATAATGAAATAGGAGGTCATTTCCAGAATTTTCTAGGTCAGTGGAGCCAATTCTTGAAGAGGCTCATAAGATAGTTTTGTTTCACTCAGAATTTGAGCATTTCTTTGAGATTACTCCATCTCATTTTCAAAGAGTTCTATCCCCTGCCCTGGCTACCTCCCAGGACATATCTTCAAGGTTAATGTTTAAATGTTAATTAATTAAGCCTAGCCATCTCTTAAGAGATAAGTAAGCAAATAGGCTAGCCATGATAACAAGGTTTCTAAGACTAAACATAAAGGAATGTTAATGCATCTTTCATAATGGAAACAATACATTTATAATCTTTGACTTAAAGTAACTATGGTTACAAAGCCTTGTGCTGCTTCACCTTCACTTGATTCCTTTCACTGGGGATCCACCTCTGTCATCAGGAGAGAGTCTCCTTGGCTAATGGCACTCAGCTTGTCATCATGAGAATACAAAGATTAAATACCTTATGAATAGAGAGTGTAAATTTCTTTATCTGCCTCAGAAGTGTCTTTTCAAGAAGGAAGACTTGGTCAACAAAGAAGAGAGAAGTGTTCTCAATTTAAGTCAACTTTCTAAATAAAAAACACTGGCTTTCAATTGTACCTGAAGTGTTTTGTTATCAATGATTACCTGGGAAGTGCTTCAGGTCTTTATAGCCATTGTCCTTGATGTTGACTAAGTGCTTCAAAAAGAATTTCTGCAGATACTTGGGGTGAAGAGATTAAGAAGAAGATAATTATCAGGATAGAAGTTAGAACACTAGATTTAGGATACGTTGCTGCAGACATCTTCCCAAAGAGTAAGTGTTTAAAACATACCATACTATAATTTTCAAGCATGGTTGAAAATTATACACATAATCCACTTTATAAAAATGATGTAAAACATATAAAGATAAAAGGAAGCATATGGAAATGTCAACAGTGGTTACCTAAGGGGTGGGATTATAGGTGCTGATTTGCCACAAAAAAACAATAACTTAAAAAACAGGGGGGGGGGGGGAAGGAACAATTTTTATATAATAATGTATTTTAGACAACAGCTACAGCTTTGGCAATTATGAAAAGAACTCACTATTAATCTGGGACACGTTCAGAGCAGGTTGGCAAATGATGTAAGGAGCTGTTAAAGCTCTGGTGATTTGTCACCTGGAGAAAGAAAGAGTAAGGAAATATGAAAACTGGCTTCAACTATTTGAAAGTCCATCAAGTAGAGGAATATCAAGACTTATTTTCCAATGACTAGTAGTTCTATGGAGTTAGCACTTGTCTTAATTTAAGGAAGATACTTCTAACAATAAGGGTATGGATTGATATTCAAGAATTACTAAAGGCATTCAAGCAGAGGTTGGGTGGATATCAGATATATGGTTATAAAAATGATTGCTTCACTGAGTGGCAACTAAGACTATGAGGTTTTTAAGGTCCTTTCAGCCCTCAGATTATATTATTTTAAACACTGCTAACATATTTGCCAACACTCTAGGGGTCAAAAGTCTTGGTTTTTCTTTTCCTTTCTTTTCGTCTCCCCAAACACACTCCAACTTCCCTCCCATAATGACAGAAAATGCTGACTTGTGCAAGGAGTCACTAGGCAAATTGTCCTTGGGGACAATGCTAAAAAAGTAGTAACTTCCTCATGATAAAGCATCTGATTTAAATAGAAGTGACAGAATATAGTGACGTGTCTAATTTACCACAATGTGTCAATTATGTACCATAAATACTAGGACAGGGACCCTTTGGCTTAGGGTTTATAGGTGCTAAAGACAAATGACAAAAATAAGATGGGCTCAGATTTTTACAGCTCATCTGATCACGCATTTACACATAACCTATGATATCCATCCCATTCTCTATTACATAAATTTGCATACCATCTTACTTTAAAACAGCCAAAGCCATTTCTGATCAACCTTCCTAGGCATCCCAGAACCCTTGTTCAAGATGCCTCTTGTGTAATCCCCAATGAGTGTGATATCCTCAACTCTCTTTGGACTTGAGTAGGAAGCAAATATTCTTGTAACATCATTCTTTCAAGAATCAGCCAAGTAATACTAGAAACATTGTTCCAAATACCAATAACAATTTATCTTCTAGCAAAAAGAGAGAATATACATATTTAGAATTCTGGGCAATATAGCTATAGAAAACGTATTCTACTCAAAAGCATAAATACTAGAAAGATGATTAAGCCTGTGGATATGTTTTTTTTAAATAAATAATGAAAATGTATATTTCTTTTACAGTTGGCCCTTGAACAATGATGGCCTCCTGCACAGTCAAAAATATGCATATAACTTCTCTTAATTTAAGAAAGACACTTCTAACACTCTCCCAAAACTTAATTACAGTCATGCCTAGGTATCCTTTGGGGATTGGTTCCAGAACCACCTCATGGTTACCACAATCAGAGGATGCTCAGTCCCTCATAAAAAATGGCATAGAACACAGATACAGCAGGCTCTTCACGTTTGCAGATTTTCAACAGTGGGTCAAAAATATATATAACAGTAGAAAAATCTAAGTGCAAGTGGAACCTCACAGTTCAAACTGTATTGTTCAATGGCCAACTACATTTTGCTTCTGGAGTATAAAGACATGTCATAGAAAGGAGAGCTATAAGTTTTAATTCTGAGTTTTATGATATTTGAATTTCTAATTTCAAATGTAACATGTTAAACTTTTTATTGTCACTTCCCATGTTCTGATTTTTATATAGAAAGTACTGTCCTGAACAAGACAGTATTTATGAGATTGCAAACTTGCTGTATATAAATAACTAGAGGCCCGGTGCACAAAAATTTTTGCACTCGGGGGGGTCCCTCAGCACAGCCTGTGCCCTCTCGCAGTCTGGGAACCCTCAGGGGATGACCACCTGCTGGCTTAGGCCCGCACCCCGGGGGGATTGGGCCTAAGATGGCAATCAGACATCCCTCTGGCAGCGGGAGCCCTCGGGGGATGTCCACTTGCCAGTGGGGAGCAGGCCTAAGCTTCAGTCAGATATCCTTAGCACTGCTGAGGAGGCGGGAGAGGCTCCAACCACCACCGCTGTACTGGCAGCCATCAGCCTGGCTTGTGGCTGAGCAGAGCTCCTCCCATGTGAGAGCACACTGACCACCAGGGGGCAGCTCCTGCATTGAGCATCTGCCCCCTGGTGGTCAGTGTGTGTCATAGTGACCAGTCATTCCCAGTTGTTCTGCTGT